TTAATATATTAGTAGATTCTTGAAATTAAGAATTAAATTGAGAAAATTAATTTTAAAAAAACGAGAATTTTAATTGTATCAAATTATGTTATGTCACTTAGGTGTACTCTGTATTGTTGTTTCAATATCATCTTATATCACTTACAACTTGTTTGGATAGTCGTTACCTATTGTATTGTATTATATTGTTACTTTAAATATGATATTTGTTTTGATTGTTTTTTAAATTTTATTGTATCGTATCGTTAAATCCGTCGTTACATAACGCGAAATGTGTAACGTTATGTAACGATCGATTTGTTGTGGCCGCATCATTACATTGTCTTTTTCGCTCATCTCACCCTTCATTATTATTAAATAATTTATTTTATCATTTACCTTAGCTTTTTATATAATAATTTTACCCCGTATAAAAAATTTTCTTTATAATTTTACAAGTTTATTTTTCATATTGTTGGTGCATGATATCACAAAACAACGGTAAACGATACAATTTATCCAAACGTTATATTCATTAAACGATACAGTATAGTACAATACAATATAATATGATACATTATGAAACGACATATAACTATCTGCCAAACAAGTTGTTAAGTGCAAAGTTTTGATTTTATTACCTCCTCGGTATTTGAGGACCTAACTTAAAATTAGAAAAATTTATATTGCTTGTTGCTAATTTTTCCCATATTTTCTTGAGCCGAAAGTCTATCAAAAACGGCCTCGTCTGCCTTTTTAAGGTAAGGTAAGATTTGCATACATATTATCTCTCATACTCCACTTGTAGGGTTGCGCTGAGTTTTTTGTTGTTATAGCAAAAAAATAAAAGAAAAAAAAGGAAAAAGAATCTTGAAGATTGGGTAAGATGTGTTGATTTGTTATAGTGTGGGGTTTCTATTACTGAGAAACTTTATTTATCTATTACTTTAAACTCCTTTATTTTCCCACTGTTGTTTGAAAATGATTGCTTGTAGATTCCAAAAAACCTCTTTGATAATGTGCTCATAATTTCTCTCACTTCTTTTTTTCTTTTTTATTTTCTTTTTAGTGATGGTAGAGGTTGGAAAAGAACTGAAGAAATAGATTATTGACCAGATTTCTTGAATACAAAAGACAATGAAAGGTGACGTAATTTTTTATTTTTTTTTTCATTTATGAGGTTCGGTACCTGCTTAAGGGTATCGATTAATTTAAATTCGCGCCACGTAAATTTGATTTTAGGGAAAACAAAAATAGTCAATTGTAATGAATGGCACAATTCTTTTTCACATTTAATTTGCAATGTATTAGTATCACAAGCATACACTGATAATACAAAAAGGTAGTCCATACCTAAAAAAAGTTTGAGCAAAATGCAAAATTGGCCAGTCGACCAAAATCACTTATATTCGTCAGTTCAAAAGTATGTAAAATATGTATATTATATGTATATAATACACACACACACACACACACATATATATATATATATATATATATATATATATATATA